ATTTGTTACCTCACATCTTGACTTTGGAATTCTCTTGTTTTTTTGGTTTTGATATATATCAGTCGTTAAAAAAAAAAAATTATGACAAGGCATGTAGACTATTGAACACTGTATTTATTTTTGAAAGAAATTTTCGACCAGTCCTCTGGCCTCCATCAGCTCTACTGAATGCACAAGATTGGCTGTTGCAGTTGTATACTGTACAATATAAACAATACAATAGTGATGTAGATGGATTAGGCCAATTATCTAATTTTTTATGCTGTAATATACAAAGTAAAAACCGACAGAGATCAAAGCAGTCAGGTATTGAGATAGTGGTATCTTTATTGAGGCCTATGGTGTGGGTTTTGTGTTCAAGTATAAGTTTGAGTTTGGAAATGCAGTGATCGTTGAGAGATTTAAAATTATTGGCTATGAGTACAAATCTCAAGTCATTCATGTTATTATTAGGAGAATTGAAATGTGTGGCTATTGGAAGGTTCTTACTGGTACGAATTGATGATTTCTGATTATTAAATGAAGGAGGTTTAGTGGTGATGCGTGAGGATGTGAGTAGGGATTTCATATGGCAATATTAAATATAATAAGCCTTGCTGTCAAATATGCACACATATAATGAACGACACAATCACACTCCAAGTCACTAACCACAAAATTCACCCCTCTCGACTCACATGTGGCTCGACTACCAACGTGAATTACATCATAATTGGTAATACATGTGATCATGGCACCTACATCGGTGAAACTGGAGCCTCTTTTAAAAGTAGATTTAATAATCGCAAATCATCAATCCGCACCAGTAAGAACCTTCCAATAGTGTAGTTAGTTTTGCTTCCCACCATATTATTCTACTATGTACACTTGGTTAAGAATTGTTTAATCTTCAACAAAACTATCTCAAAACTTGACCACTTTGATCGCTGTCAGATTTTACTTTGTAAATTACAGCATAAACTATTAGATAATTGGCCTATAATCCATCTACATCACTATTGTATTGCTTATATTGTACAGTATACAACTTGCAACAGCCAATCTTTTGCATTCAGTAAAACTGATGAAGGCCAGAGGACTGGCCGAAAATTTCTTTCAAAAATAAATAGAGTGTTCAATAGTCTACATGCCTTGTCATAATTTTTTGTTTCAACGACTGATATATAATTTGAAGAACACATGTGGATTTACAATGATATATGTATATATATAAATATATATATATATATAAAATGAGTACGAATGCATATAATATATATATATATATATATATATATATATATATATATATATATATATTTATGTAAAAATGGGATAAAAGAGGTCTCAAAATTCCAAGAAAAGGGCATAAAAGCAATAATGATGTGTGTGGTATTTCTTTTTCTGATACAGATTTAAGGTTAAATGTAATTTTGGTTTCTCCTCCTGTAGCACCTTGAGCGCTACTGCAGTGGATACAGTATGTGCGCTTTATGAGTCTTATAATTATTCATTATTATTATTTTTTGCTAAACAGTGCAGTGCACTCTTTGGAAAAAGTGATTACCTCTTGGTGTCACCACTATGAGGACCCTGCACAATCAATTTAGACAAGGCTGTAATGATTAATTATATTGGTCATTATTGTTGTTGTTGTCATTACTGTATTGCTATTATAATCATTGTTTTAATATTCAATACAGTTACAGTAAGTGATCATTCAGAATGAAAATTATACATTACAGTGGTGGATTTACAGGGGCCCAGCCCCCCCCCCCCCCCCACTGGATCCACCCTAAAATCATAAAAAAATTTGAGAAAAAAGAAAATTATTTTCAAATTATCAGTGTAAGAGTGTCATTACCTGCTATGTAGTAAATCATAAATTTTCTTATTTTAGCCCCAGCCATGGTGGGGCTGAGGTGGTATAGACACTCCATCTGTCCTGGGCCCCTCTATTTCAAATTCCTGGATCCGCCATTGCATTATTTAATCTCCGTTTACTTTTTTGTTATATTCAGTAATTAGTTTTCATGTGTTCTGACATTGATTATCATTTTGTAGATGTAGATTATATACCTGTTGGACAAACACCACTGCATTGCTGTCTACATGCTCAGGGTAGTTATGATGATCAGCGAGAAACGGCATTGTGGTTGATAAAATATGGTGCCTCAGTCTACAAGGAAGATGATGTAATGTATAGAAAAAAGAAATGATTCAGAAGGATTAGTTAATGTCTTTATTACAATAATACAAACATTCCTGATAACCAAAACCAACCTAATACATAAGAGCACTGATTTCCATTCTATACGAATGAATTCCATCAATTATTCTTGAACCAATAAATATTGTGATACTGATAGTGTTGGTCATTCCTTTGAATTATTATTTTCACCATTATCATTTATAAATCTTCAAAGCTAAAATATTTCCCTTTGTCATGCTGATGTAGTGTGCAGCTGCCATCCAGTGAAATATACTATAATTTTTCGTATGATCTTGTTATTACAGGACGGGAATACACCTCTTGATTATTATGATCGTAATAAATGTAGTAATTACGAAGTATCAACAAAGAAGGAAAAGAAAGATGAACTTAAAAAATTGCTTATAGGTAAGTTATCTGTTGTACATTAAATATTCCTGAACCTCATTGGCAAAAATCACAGAGCTTGCTTTATTTGGAAGAACCATGTCATAAGCCTCAGCTATAAAGCTTTCTAGGCATGGCTATACCTTAAGTACTAATAGCTAGTTAGGTGCCATCTCAGTGGAGGTCTTGTGGGTCCTGACCCCAGCCTCTTTTTTAGGATGCCTTTTTTTAAGTGGAAGAAGGTAAATATTTTATTCGTCAATCATATCAACTTTATTGTTAATGGAAATTAATTTTAACCAAGTGTTGCATAAGATGAAAATGAAACATACCTGTAAATAAACAATATATATTATTTTAATGTAAAGCTCAGTATTTTAAACTGTATTCTACTTTGATTTTATGGCTGAAATCAAGCAATGGCACAACAGTGTATCCTAAATATTCCAAAACAATTATATGACAGTAATCGCACCTGCAAGATCCTGGAAATGCCACCTTATACTTCTAAAAGAAAAAGATTTCTGATGTTTTAGACTCAGCCCCTTGTTAATATCTCTCATGTAACCTATTGCAAGTGTACTCTGCCAACCAAACTTGTCACTGAAGAAACAGCAAACAAATCCACACCTATTACATGCACTCGATAGATGTGATCCATGCATAGAGGCTTTTCTGCATGGGTATGCTATAAAAGTCCCAATTATTATTCATTTTTAAAGCATAATTATTTCAGTAATTTAGCTTCCTCATGTAGTGGAAATATTTATCAAATTATCTGTCATTCTACACAGCAACGATGAATCAAAAGTAAAAAGAATGAAAAAGTAAACAAAAATTTAACAAAAATATCAACTTCACATAACATTTTGAAAAATTAAGGCAAAAAAACACTACAAAATTAAAATGGAAATGTACAATTTATGTAACGAATTATCAATCATAGTTATCTGGAAGTTGTGGGTTGGATTTCTACCCAAACGTACTGAGCACTCAGTATGATAACATGTCGGATAGGGCAAAAATCAATTTTATGATATGCAAGGTTTATATAATTAATAATATAAACGTAATAGAAAATACTATACATTTGTACTCTGTATTAATCAATTCCTGTATTAATTTCATAACTTTTTATAATAATGTTATTTTCTGTTGGACCTCTTCATGTTCTAGAAGTAGTTAAGTCTAATGTTTCAACAACTTGATATAAACTTACATAATTTGATGTGTTATTTTCAGAAATCAATTTGTACAGTGATGGTAATTTTTTTAAACAAAATAGTCACAGTGTGTTTAATGTAAACTATAAAATGGATGTAAGAAATATGTAGCATAAGAGTATACTAAATAATATTTGTTATATTTTATATCCATAAGAGCTATCAGCTCCAGGACAAATATTAGCGAGAGATCCTGAAGCCATTAAAGCATTCACATATGAAGTCCAGAATGGGAAAATTACGATGGTTAATTCTAGAGTCATGTTCCTTGGGAAAGAAGGGGTCGGCAAGACGAGTTGTGTCCGTTCCATGCTTGGCAAAGTGTAAGTACATAACAAGGCCTTGTTTTTTAGGTAATTGTATAGTCTGTTGGCTTGCAGTCAGAGCCACAGTATTACAATATTCTTATAGTATCATATATGTTCATTACTCCTAGGCAACTGACTATCCAGGATTTGTTTGCAATTGTTTAAAGGATTTTAAAAGGGCATTTCTGCCCATTGGCTTTTGATATAGCTGTCATTTTCAAAGGGTTTAATTTTTTACTTAGTATGCATTGAGTACAGTACTACACCACACACACACACAACACATCACTATGAGCTTGTCACACTTTATTATCTCAACTGTTATTCAAAAACTAATTTAATGTTTGAATAAAACCTAATACTAGAAATTGCAAGTGAAGTGCTGCGAAGCGTTGGTACCGTGTTTGCCAGTCTACAACACATTACATATTGACACCATTTTGTTACTGAGTGCCTCCAGAGCTTGTCGCACTTTATTATGGCTATTTCAACTGTTATTCAAAAACTAATTTAATGTTTGAATAAAAACATAATGTAAGCATGAAAACATAGCATATACAGTAGTAATTATCCTATGTATATTTGATGGTGAATATAAGTTTACAATGCATACTAAGAATATAAAGCTTAACATACTATGTTATGTACTAACATACTCTGTTGCTGATTTAGAAGTTTATATAGTGCGAAAATAAAAAAAATAAAAATATTATTTTAAAAGTTAAAGAAAAGGTTTGGTATAAATATGTCCTTTCTTAAATGTATAAGTCCATTGCATATAATATAATTAACTTAACATTTTTCCTGTTTCTTAGTATTCATTGATTTGGTAAAATTATAGTTACATAATAAATTATTATTTTATTATTACTATGTTTATATAAATGTCAATAGATGTAGAAACAACGAACCATCAACAGATGGTATTGTAACAACAACAGTATTTCATACAGTTAATGGTGATTTCAGCGAATGGAAGGAACAAAATGATGTGGATGGTATGAATATTATACTTTCTTGAAATGAAATATACATAATTTAATTTACAAATTCACTGTCTAAATAATATACACTGTTATTTTTATGAATTATTTTGATGACATGTTTTTGCAAATAGAATGAACAAAAGGATGTGGATGGTATTAATATTATACATTCTTAGAATATAATTTAATTTACAAATTCACTGTCTAAAATATTATAATTCGTTATTTTTATAAATTAATTAATGACGTTTTTTCTTGAAATCTTTTCAATATTGTACAGTTTGTGAATTAACCAAGCAGATACGTGAGCATACCATTGCAGAAAATGTCGCCAAAAAGCTGAAGCAGCCAAAAAGCCATCAAAACTCATCTAATTCTGCATCATCCAGTTCTACAGCCTCTTCAACAGTAAATTTTTATTTATTTTAATATGCAAAAATTACTTTAAAAACTTTTATTGAAAGATTTTCTTTTAAATTTTGAATATGTATTTTTTACTTAGCGTTCAGCCTAATATGAAAATCACTGGTTCGAATTGCTGTGTACATTTTCAACTGACCTAGATTAGTGATTCTTAAATGTTTAATTACAGATGCCATCAGAAGCAGCAAAAAGTATGACAAGCTATACCAGTAAACTCCCTGAAGAAGGAATTCATAAGAAACTTGTTGCTGAACTTGCTAAATCTGCCAGTGTCCATCCGGATAACCCATTAGAACAATTAAGTGCATCTGGGGAGGGATTTGACAAGAGTTTTGTACCAAGAGATGTCACATGCATTTGGGACTATGCTGGTCAGCTGACTTACTATATATTACACAGAGTAAGTAATAAATTCTACTGAAAGCTATATTTCAAAATTACTGTATGTTTTCTTGTGATTTGGCATGCGACTCTGGTGAGTAGTGGAGCAATGGTCTTGTGGTAAAGGTGGTTGACTTCCACTCCCATTTTCCTAGGTTTCAATCCTTTTAGGAGCCATTAACATTAATGTTGAAAATTAGTTTATAGAACATCACAGTTTATATTTATTCAAAAAAGCTCCTGAATATCAGCTGAATTTCTGGCCTTAGCTGGAAGTTTTACCCTCTATATGTGGTTCAAATCAAATATTATTTTTTTGTATTGTCTGTGTACCTGTATAATGTTAGTTGTTGTAGTATTTGCAGGATTTCAATCTCTCTTCTTAAGTGACTTCATTTTTCAATGATCAGTCAGGGGTGGCACCAGTGGGGCCGGGAGAAAAGTCCCAATTCATCGTGAAAAAAAAATATTTTTCTGCATATTAGTAAAAATTGACTTTATATTATGCATTTGATGGAATAAGCATTTGAACCCCATTGAATTGTAATATATTTCGGGGCTTCTTGCCCTGGAAAACTTTAAGAGATTTTGTGACGGCCGACCACAGCCACTTTCCTCTCATCGGGGACGTCATTATTCCTCCTCCAATTTCAAATCTTTGCGCCACCCCTCTGTTTGTTTGTAACATGCCTGATTTTATTAATTATTTTTTAAGTTTAAATTTGTTTCTTCTTCTTCCTAGTTAGTTCTGACAGATGGATACTACTGTGTTGTATTCAGTGTGTTAGATGATTTGGACGCCCTTGCAACACCAAGAGATTTCCAGCAAGTAAATACACCACTTAATCTTCATTGCAGTTGTTTAAACCTTAATTAGTTTTAATTCATCAATTAATCATATACCATTTTTGTTTATTTATTCAGGGACAATTTGAAATGACAAATCTTCAGATGAATGTGTTTTGGATGCGGTCAATATATGAACACGCTGTACTACCCTATCCTGGAAGGACAAAGAAGTTAATCAATGGCATATCCTCACCAACGATAAGTTTAGTTGCCACACACAAAGATAAATTATTGGGGACCGAGTCAAAAAATGACAAGCTGGTGAGACATTTTCTGTTTTATAGTAAAATTACAGTGTTTTTTCTTTAAATCTTCAAAACATTTACTAATACAGTACTTTCAATTTTGTTCAAAGATCACAACCAAGTTCAAAAGAATATTTGATGAAATAAAAGGAACACCATATGCAAGCCATGTGGATCGTGAGATGTATGTTGTAGATAACACTGTGGCTATTGATGAAGGGATTGAGAAATTGAAGAAGAATGTTGGAAAATACATGAAGTCAACGGCAAAACCTATTCCCACTAGCTGGGTTGATTTCCAATCCAAAGTACAAGATGTTGGAAAAACAAAACTCCGTCTTTCTTTAGATGAGGTAACATGCTTGCTTATTCTTTTAGATTAGCCATTCAAATTTATAGTTTTAATTATTGAGGATTCCTTTCGATTTAAATAGAATTTAATGGTTGTATTTACAAAGTTACCATCACATTGGTTAATCTTTTATTTTCTTATTTATTTAGCATTTCGTGTCCATTTTAGTGATGTTATTGTAATATGTTTTTATGGTCTATTGTTCAACTTCAAATTTTTATGACAAAAATTGCAATAAAGCTTCTCGTATCGTATTGATTATGATTATGATTTTTTCAATGGAATTCTCTTCTCATTCAAAATTTTTTAAGGTCGCAGAAATTGCATCTAAATGTGGAATTTCTAAAGCAATGCTTAACACTGTCCTCGATTATCTAAATGACACTGGAATAATTCTGTACTCTAAGACTAATGAGAAGTTAAAGTACACGGTTATTACGGACTTGCGCATGATGATCGACATTGTGACAAAAGTCATCACGGTAGTGAAACCTGATGATATTGACAAGGTAAGCAATATACTGTAGCAATTACCTCCTATACTTAACTTCAGGTGGTTATTTTGTTTTATCATTTTTATGATGTTTAATAATTATGTTCATATTTTCTTGTAGTTACCTATACTGATGCAATGGAATAAGCTCGACAGTGAGGGAATTCTACAAGAGCAATTGCTACGTCATTTGTGGCGATTTGAGATAGAGAAAGATGCCAGCAACTTTGATGTTTTTGTAGAACTAATGAAAAAGTTTGGATTGCTGTTTGAGAAACAAAAGGTAAGCTTCTTCTTATCATTTAGCAGAAGTAACTCTTTCTTAATATGTATGTGCATAAATTTTCAAACCTTTTTGAGATTCATAATATGCCACATCAATGCTCATGTTTTCAAAGGGATCTCAAACTGGTAACCGAATATTCATGGTTCCCACTCGGATGCAAATCAATAAAGAGGGCTTGGAAGTTAAGGAAGACGAGCAGCAAACGGTATCGATTTATGTGACGCCTATCGACTTCCTACCGGATGCTGTCTACAATTTGCTGGTCGTTTCATTTTTAGACTTGATGAATGACAAAGGTAGGAGTGGTGATCATGTGGAATTGTTTCGGAATCGTAGTGACTTTGACTTAGATGATGAGCATGTAGTGAGTCTAGGAGCTGTCAAAATCAAGAACAGGCATGCATTGAAGGTAAGATGCATTGCTAAATGTTAAGCATGATAATTATATTAATGTAATAAAACTGTCAATGTAGAACTATGGTATAAGAAATATATTTATATATACTAATTCATATAATGTATATTACAGTACATGTTAGCCTAAATTGTTTGGGATTTTGCACTATTTTTGTGCCAGTAAAACATTGTCAGACCAGGTCTGGCAGTTTAGTGTAATTTTTTTGGCAAATAAATCATGAATTGATAGACAGCTATACGTCATATCCACAACAGCTCTTAAGCTGGGCAATTACTACAGCCTGCAGTTGTCGGCTAGCCCGATTCGGTGGGAAACACCACAAGCCACTGAAATTAGCATGCGGCGTCGCATCGTCGGCGCTCTCAGGGGGTGGATTTGGATTCGTAGAGCAGTGTGTGCCAAGCTTTAGATAGAAATTTGTGTATTTATATTTATTGTTATGTGCAGACTTCTCCAAGTAAACCCATTGATGAATAAAGTATCCTGTATGTTGTCTTGTCTTATAAACAGATTGAAATATCACGTATGATAAAAGTTGATGAACATGGCAATGAAGAAACTCTCGAACCACATCCTAGCGTCTGCATGGAGGTAAGTTTCCATAAGCAAATGCTGTTCGTTTTAGTCATTTTTTAAATAGAAATTAAGGAGGTTTTGAAAAACCTAATGGTAATTTTCTTTATTAATACTTCTTTAAATGTCTTTTGTCAAGCCTTTAGACCCACTTGCTAATGCTTCAAGACAGATTCCCATTCTTTAGCAACTGCTTATCAACAAATCTTTGATTAAAACTATAGGTTTTGTAAATACAGTAACTAGTTTTAAGTGAAGGGATTTTACTAAATGTTTATGGATTTTGTGGGATTTTTATGGTATATTCAGTACAATTGCAGTAGGGAGAGTAAGTGGGTGTGCAAAAATTGTCCAATTGTGGTACGGGGGAAGACTTAAAATGCCTGATGGGGGTCAAAGTTAACAGCTGTTTGGATCGCATCTACAACTACATCGGTGCTGAAGTTTGTCCAATGGATTTATAATCAATATCAGGTTGTACTCCTTGAAAAGTATTGTACTATTTTTACCTTTTTTTTTGGCTCCGATGAGGAGCTTTAGGAATATCCGGCTGATTGTGCTTTTCTTGCTGATTGACTGCTTTTTTGCTGATTGATTGATTTTTATCTATTTTTTAGAGGAACAATTACTGGCTCAAGTCTAGTTCTATTTTTTAGAGAAAAAAATAACGGGCCCGTCTGGGAATTGAGCCAAGGACCTCTCACACCCTAACCTACATTCCTGCCTTTAGACCAACGTTTATAATTTTGAATTTTTGATTGATTGCTTAAAAGATCTTTTTTGTATGGGCCAACAAACTCTACTGCTTCTATTATACTGCCCTTATTAGAGCTTTAGAGATTGTGAGAACTTTTTTTATTTGGGTGATCAGAAAATGAATGTCTCTCTTTTATTGATTGGGGGCCATTTAGAGGTCTTGGTTGCATTGCTAGAATCCCAACAAAATTGAGATTTATACATATTGCATATGCACCTATAAAAAATTATCAGTATTATTTTATTTTTATCAGGTATTAAGTTACCTCCGACAGCAGTTGAAAACTGTGTATGTTACTACAGAAGGAGTTGGCTATGAGTTACGCATTTTTTGCAATGCCTGTGAACCTACGCTGCGACCGTTGCATAAACTTGAGGAATGTTTAAAGAAAGGTAGCGTGCGTTGTGGAATGAAGAATGTTGCAATGACTCGTATCAGACGACTCTTTTCAACAGGTTGGTTAACGAGTACCATTTGTATACGAAATTGGTGTTTATATTTTATACCATTTGTTTTCGTTAAGATAAAAATTTTCTATTGAATACTGAAAGTATTTGCAAGTAAAAATAAATGGTAACAATATTTTAGTAATGAAGGCAGTCAGAATGCTCTACAAATGTCCCTCTTTCCCTGGCAACAACAAAAGAATATGCAAATTATAATTTATGCCCTACCATAACCAAGGACTTATAACTGTTACCAGGATTGTAAGTATATCATGGATAATTTTAATGCACTAGTTATTTGATAACTTCATTCCAATTTGTTTTGTGTCTTTTTTCTGCATTTTTATAAGCGGTTAGTCATGGCCTAGGCTACTCCTGTGCCTAGGCTAGCATTTGTGATGTTCATTGTAGTACAGTAGTACAAAACAAAATTACATCAATTTAAAATTAAATTTGTGAACATACTTGCCTTATATCTTAACTAGCAGGTTTTTTTTATTGGTAGATTGTTTTGTTTTTAAGCGTGTGTGAATTGCATGCCATGTGAAATTAGTACCCTTTCTTTACTTTGTTTTTTATGGTACCATAATTCTCGGCCAGGCCTAGCTGTACCCCTAGCCGACACGCAGTGTGGCTAAGGAAATTTTTTTTTTTTTTTTGAGCATGTGCAGATTGTGCTTATCTGGCTCATTAGCATAACAATATTACACATAAGGCTAATTCAAGTTAGACGGCTTAAACCAGCCAGCTTCCTATCCTGGTAACAGTTATTGCTATAACCCTCCCTCGTGGACAATAAATCTTTTCTCATGCTCGCCAGAAACATTCCAGGTCTGATGTACAGTATTCAATTCAATCTTTTATTGCAGCAGAAAGGTTTATCAATTCATCAATCATGATTTAATATGTAACAAAATGCTAGGTGAGAAGTTACACAATACATTAAGTGAATATGACACTGTTAATTTTAAGAGCCCAAAATTTTATGATTTTATGACAGGTTTTGATGATAACTCTGCACAAGAAATCCTGAATTTTCTGGCACTTCAGACCTTGATTGTTGGTTGTGGAACTAAAGAACTACGGAGGTACTTTCTAGACAAATCTAATCTTGCGCAATCAGAAGTTACACCATTTCTGACCAGGGAGAGGCATGGATTATTAATGGATGTTGATTTTGGAGATGAGGCGACAACAGTTTTTTCATCAACCAGCAATATTGCTGCATTCCATATGAGCATCATGGTGAAGTTAATTCGCTACTGTTGCCACAACACCAAAGCAGAAGACTTCTGGGAGAACCCTAAGGATGATGACAATTCTGAGCTGGCAAATCTTGTCCGCATCTATCAATACAAGAAAACTGTTCTCGACTGCAGTTACAGCAACAGTGTCACAGAGGAGGAGTTTGATAAGCGATGGAAGGAACTCACTGCTATTTTTACAGGTGTTGGGGTTCCTGTTGAAGACATTGAGAATTACCGCGACCCGTGGCATTATAAAGATGGAGCCATGGAAGGTAACTTGTCAATATTAATAATGGCTGCTGTTAATGCTAATTCTGCTGCTGATGATAAGTACTGTACCTGTCCAGTCAATTTGTAGATTGACCTGGCCAGAACTAATTGCAACAGAAATAATTTTTGCGGAATCTGTTTCAGAAATATACCATAAATAACTTACTAAAATCTAAAATTTAGGGTAACATTGTGAATTTCAAAGATATTTAGTTAATAGTTAGTTAATATCCAATGGTTTACTGTGGCACAATGGCCAACTGCTGCATATAAAAACCTGTTGTTGCTAACAAAAAATAGTTCAATAAATAGATGCTCATGCGAAAACACAAAATCAAACCAGGCGCATTCAACACAATGATCAGCGAAATTGTGCACACTGTTATGCATTGCCGGATAATATTTTTATTTATTTATTTCCAGGCCAGCAGCGAAAAAATTGCTACTTTCAGGTTGGAAAAAAAAAAAATATAAAAATAGATAAATACAAACAATCTCAAAATACATTATTAACTACAGTAACCTCTACCCCACTATGAACATAATTATAGAATCATGAAACTAAACAGAGTCACAAAGACAATACCGGGATACTTTTTAAAATGAGCAATTGGAAATGTTTAAAACCAGTCAAAAAGATACCACAGTACATTGATTAACAGGCACATATCCAGTAGGATCCCCCCTTTAAAATTTCAATACATATTAATGTAATGTATTGAAATAATCACTACTTATCTAAAAAAAATGAACAAAGTATATTTGATAAATAGTTTGATATAATTTGTAATACAGTATCTCTAGCTATGTTCTGACGATCACTACTAGTACTATCCGATGCAAGATAATTAGAAACCCAGTCAATTTTGCGTCTACACGATAGTTACATGGATAGTTACAGCGCTTATACTCTGATATAAAAAGGTTGAAGAATAAAGTGATTTCAATTGATCTCATGATGATATTTCAATAAAACGAAGATGACACGGGGGATTAGCAGACTTCTCAAGTTTGTAAATTGCATTTTCGTAACATGTCTTCAGATTTTTGCAGAGTTTGATCCTGAAATATACACACATCTTAATACTAAAAGTTTGAAAAAATCCAACCTGGGGAACATTGTTAATTTTAAAGATATTTAATGAGTTAACATCCAATGGTTTATTGTGTTGCATTGCACAACTGCTGCGTTGAAGCATATAAAAGCCTGTTGTTGCTAATGAAGAAATGGTTAAAGCATAATGGACACCCACGCGGCGGGAACGCAGTTGAATCAATCCAGACGCGTTAGTAATACAATTATCAGCGCATGCGGCTGCTGTCTGATTTGATTTTTTGTCAGTTAAGTAGTTTGTTATCATCATTCGAGGAATAAATTTTTCCTAAATGGTTATATAGTGGTTTAATTTTTATATAATTTTGATTTTTGTTAGTTGACTTGTATTATTCAAAATTCAATATTTCCATAGCCATAGTGTAGAACATATTTAGGGAATATCATTCAATCAAATTATGTTTGGTTTTAATATTAGTAGCAAATATTAAATTAACTGAAATAATGTTCTGGATCGTACTGAAAGGGCGAAGAGAATATATAAAAAAAATACTTCTATGCTGTATTACTGTAGCAATATTAAAATTAAATTAAATGTTCAATAAGGTCGGCATGTTCTAAAAAATAATATCTGTTGCAGTTAGTTCTAGGTTCATTATAATTCATTATCAGATTGACTGGACTACTGCTACTCAAGTTTGATTTTGATTCTATTGCTGCTGCTGCTGATTCTATTTCTGAATCAGATTCTGCTGATAATTCTGCTGCTGTACTGAGTCTGCTTTTACTGATGATGATTTTGCTGCTGTGGCTGAATCTAACAGCTACTACTCATGCTGATTATTAATAAATAATAATAATTAATAGTTGGATTTGTGTAGCGCATCATGCATAAAAGCATCCATGCGCTTGGTGGTTGAGTTTGATATTTTTAAAGTGGGAAGTGGAAAAAGAATTGTAGCCCTTTAAAATTAAATTTACTCCCTAAACTAAAGCTAGTTTGTTGGCCATTGGCTCAGAAGAGTTCATCCACCCTTTGTTGGTTTTTTTGTCTTGCTGCTGGGTGTCCTTCCTCCCTTCCACCAGAGGCCACTAGAATCATCCAATGGCAGCTAGACAGGATGCAGTTTATAACGTTGTACCCAGGACACTATTATAAACTTGTACTACACTTAAGTAAGCTAAAAACTAATTCTGCTCCTGCTGATGATGATACTAACTCTGGTGCTGAGTCGGATGCTGCTGATGCTGATTTTTCTGATGCTGCTAATCTTTCTGATGCTGCTGATATGCAATAACATCAGATTTGTGGTTCAGGTTGTGTAAGGCATAATTGTAATTATGAAAACTCGAAATTAAATAAACTTACTGTTGCAAATTATTTAAATTTCCATTTCTTTATTCATCAGAAGTAGGTATTGGGCACACTGTCATTGAAGAAATCAAGAATTTCCAGGCTATTTCATCAGCTGTCGTTGATGTTGGTACTGCAACCATGAGAGATTACATATTAGAGGTTAATAAAATTAACAAGAACGATGTAGGAAATTATCTACTCTCCGAGAAGAGTAAAAATAGCTTTAAGAATGCATGGAAAAATATCAGTCAAGATCAGAGGTCTAAAATGTTCACAACATCAGCTGACATAGATACGTTTGATATTTCTATTATGTATTTAATAATTCGAAACTGCTCCAATGGCATCCCAGAGTCATTTTGGAAAGAACCATTTAGATTGCCTAACTTGGTGCAAATCCACAACTACAGGAACACAAAGCTGGCACATTCCCCCAACAGTAGAATGTCAAATAAAGAATTTGAAATTGAATGGAAGAAAGTGAGATCAATGTTGCATGCTGCAGGTGCTTCTTTAACCGACATAGACAAATATAAGGCACTAAGATTTATCAACTAAATGCATAATTCTACTTTGTATTTAAATTTCTGCTGCAAAATATGAACGCATGTGTTTGTTGTATATTTTTGTCCACTAACATGACATTGTAAACATTTCAGCACGGAGCAATATTTCTGATTTTTAACTTGTCTGGTTTAATAGCAAAACACTTTGGGTACCAGGGGTACACAATCACAACTTTATTAATTAGTGTTTACACACCAGTTGTAAATTGTAGCTTGCAGTGTCATAATGCAAAGAAATTGAACAGTACTGTCGTAGCATTGTTTAAAAATTACTTAAAACTTTAAATGTTTATGTGTGTGTTTATTAACGTTATCTACTGTGGTATCAGCACCACTTTATGCTAAAGCTCCTTAATTTTATTAATAATAATAATAATAATAATAATAATAATGTGAAGCTCTATGAGCTTACATAATCATTACCCATGTCATTCGATTATGGAACACGAACTCAGGCTCCTGGGGAAGTATTCCGTAAAATTTGGTAACATTTGCACATTTTGGCATTTAACCCTACCAGGTACCCACTTATACTCCTGGGTGGAGAGAAGCAATGCAGATAAAGTGCTTTGCCCAAGGACGCAAGTGAAATGCACAGCGAGGGATTGAAACCCTGACCATGAGGTTGGGAAAACCATCCTTACTGTGCCAAACCACTTCCATTAAGGGATGTCATTGTACAATAATAGGCAGTTTTTCCCGCACGACTTTAACCTTAAACTTTAACGTCAGTAACCAAAATGCACGCGATAGCTCCCCCCTTTTTGTAAACAAATCGAAGTATGCATGCGCAAACCCATAACTAACATACATCGAGCACGTAAAATCCTGAAATTAACGTCATTATGACGTTATCGGTTAACCTTAACGTCGTGCAGCGAAAACTACCAATTAATGAAAATGTAGATTTTTGAACAATCAAAGCTTAATACTGTATTTATTGTACTTACTTGGTACTTGGCATTCCATGACAGGAATATCTGTCTGTCATTGACTGATAAACAGTTGACTAAATACACTGCTGATATACTTATTCAGAGAGAGATCAGACTGGTACTTTACAATTGACTTATAATTTAGTTTCTTATTAATTTACATACATGCTACTTATAGATGATAGTTTAATATTGTGAATGGAAACTGTTCCTGATAAATTGATGTCTATCAACCTGGCTGTTTTTACTTGCCTTCTGGGGGATAGAAGAAGTTGTCTTCCTATGCACTTGTTCGAAGTGAGATTGAGCAAAAACAAATGAAACTTTTTAAGAATCTTGGCTATGTATTCGCATTATAGATAGAGTTTAAGTAGGTTTCAAGAAGAATGTAGATATTCACCAAGGAATTTAGATTCTTTAAATTATGTTTACCATCACCAACCACAGAATTTATGAAACAATTTGAGGTTTTTGAAGAATCAACTTAACATTTACTAATGAAAGATCAACAAGAAATAAACTGTAGACATTTTTCAAATCAGGGTTGTTTTAAAGTGCTATGTTTTCACATTATAGATAGAGTTTAAATAGGTTTCAAGAAGAATCTAGATATTCAATAAGGAATTTAGACCCTTTAAATTATGTTTACAGTCACTAACCACAGAATTTAAGAAGTGATTGATTTCATACAGGGGTATATTTTTATGGCACACACTGTAAAAAGATTTTGATTTAGAAAAAAGAAGATATTTGATATAAGAACATTTGTAATTAAGCAGTAGGTTGTACTGATAACCCTTTTGTGTGCGTTTCGTTGTCATTTGTACATTTTATCACAATCTTTTGTAAAAACCACCATTTGGTTGAAAAGTGTATCATGCTGAAATATAAATTGATTTTACCCTTTATTGATCATATACACATGCCATGACATAATATGTAATTATAACAACTGAATTTTAACATTAAAAATATTTTATTGTAATGAGAACTTAAGTATACAGATTAAGTAATTCAAATATGTTTGAATTCAATTTTTCAATTTTTAGCGTGCCAGACAGTGCATCTTTTGATGTATACATTTTTTTTCAATCTACAAAGTTTATTTTATATCTACAACAAATGAAACTGTACAGTAAAATCATTTATGAGGCTAGGTATGAAGTGCTGTCTAAAATATTTCTAATGTACACTGGGCATGATATACATTTTTTGTTTGTAAATTTTTATCCATTTTAAGTCATTTAAATGTTTTATTTGGTATAAAAGCATTGCATTGATTTTCATTTAGATAAATAAATGTTACTTTGACTTGGAAGATGTTTTTGTTGAGTGTGAATAATTCCTGTGCTGTAAATTTATTTAAACCCAAGAGACTGAGTGATTGGAATGCAGGCATCCTACCACCAAGTTGGAGTCCTCACAGGACATTCTTAAATACAAATTAAACTTTACAATTGTAACATCAATTGTTCTTATATATTAACACTCTGTTTATGCCATTTACCAAATTGTGAATATACAGTATCACAGGTGCGACAAGGCAAAGATAACAGCGAGTTAATTATAGAGGGCGTGCTACTGGATGAAATGAACCAGGAAGTCTTGTCGAATGGGAAAACCCGCAGTCGAACGGAAAGCGTATCTTCCGAATATCTGCGTACAGTCTTCTACACAGGGAACAGGAGTTTACCTTACAAAAAGGTGTTATTATTAGAGAAATAATAATAATGCACTTTATTACTGTAACACTTCTATCTTCAAAAATTGTATTTTTACCTACTGTGTGCTACAAACGATATTCGGCGCTAATGCACTTTAGGGCGCTTGACGCCATCTTGTGTGTTTACAAAAATGAAAACGAACCCTGAACATGACCGTTGAACTTTTCAACTTTCTGTTTTTCGGTGACCTGTGCCCTCTACACGTTGAGACAAATGCAATTGCATCCTGCTGCAGACCGGCAGCGAGGCGAGGTCAGCTACGCTTTGCAAAAGCAGCCAGACATTGCAAAATAGTTAATGCAAAAGAATAGCCTGGGCGATACCATTTTCACGAAGGTAAATTGACTTTCGACATAAACCTTGTACAAAAAAAAATATGATCGACCACTTTTATGGTTGCTGCCCTCTACAGTATTTCAACGTCAGGTTAAGTTATTGTAGGTGGTGGACAACCCTGGTTAAACTAACCCAGTAGTCATGGTTGGGGCGAGTGGATACAGAAAGGTTCTGTATTCGGGGGTGCAGGGCGAAGGCCTTGATAAAGCAGACTAAATGTTGTGGCAGATAATGTCCTGGTTTATTTGTCTCCTGTCTCTTTTTTTGTGGACTGATTATTATTTGTTTTTCTAGATGCTCAGATGTGCTTTCCAGCACTGGTCTGTTAATCAGTGGCGGATCTGGAGGGTGGTGGTGAGGGGGGAGGGGATTAATAGGGTGGCTACCCACCCCCTTCGTTTACTGTGAGAAAAAAATTATGGTCACTCGTCTTGCGTGTGTGCTCTTCGTGTACACTTTCTATTTGATGCCTAATTTTTTTTCAGGACGGCCACCTAAGATCGTCCAGCAGTCTACTAATTCCAAAAAAAAAATTTCGAAT